CAAGAGTGAGACCCCCGTCTCTACTAAAAAAATAGAAAGAAATGATCTGGACAACTAAAAATATATATATATAAATTTAGCTGGGCATGGTGGCACATGCCTGTAGTCCCAGCTACTTGGGAGGCTGAGGCAGAAAGATCGCTTGAGCCCAGGAGTTTGAAGTTGCTGTGAGCTAGGCTGACGCCACGGCACACACTCTAGCCCGGGCAACAGAGCAAGACTCTGTTTCAAAAAAAAAAAAAAGTAAATACCTGCAAACATGGTACCTGAGTTCGTAGATAAGCAAACATTTGTAGCCTATAAATAGGCTACAAATTCATTTCAATTTGCTTTGGGAAACACACCAAAGTACATTTCAATTTGCTTTGGGAAACACACCAAAGTACGTCAACTTTATTCTCCTGAATGCCTGAGCTCACCCAGGAAGCTTTGGTTATTCTGAATAGAAGCATCAAAGGCAACACAGCACAGTGGTCAAGATCCCACTGCAGTCAAACTCCCAAGGTTGGAAGCCTGCCCCTGCCCCTGCCCCTGTCCCTGCCTCTGGCTAATTGTGACACTGGACAAACTGCTTGACTTCTCTGAACCTCAGGGTTCTCATCTGTACAGGAAGATGTCGGCAGGGTCCACCCCAAAGGGCTACTCTGAGGATTACAGGAGATACAGATGTAAAGTATTTAGAGCAGTGCTTGGAACAGACTCACGCTGAAAAAATGCTGGCTGTATTATTATGAAGACCCTTGAATTGAGTTGTATGAAAAAATTAAACTGTGAGTCTGACCGAACAAGCAGCCACCAAGTGGTGTCCCAATCTGTAGGGAAAGGCCCCTGGGGTAAGCTCCACTACTCTAGAAGTCTCGGAAGCGAAACTCGTGCTTCGGAGACAATCGGGCCCTGGCCGCGCGCGCTGAGCCTGTGCACCTTCAAGAATACAAAGGAGAAACTGTCAAACCAATGAGCTCCTGAAGAAGAAATAGATATTCTGAGTTGACTTAGGGAAGATGATCTGGAAATGGGGACCCTTCCTTGAAAAACCTGGGAAGATGGTCACTTTTGAGGAATTTAACTTTGGGAATAAAAAACATTCAGAAACTGGAAACCAAGCATATCTAGAAGAACTCCGGTAGTGATTTTGTTTTATTTCCTATCTCCTCAGAGGATGGACTATGTTTATCTTTGAGGGTGAGCCTAGGGACCATGTACGTGGGTGGCAGGGAGAGAGGGCAGTAAGGAAAGGAGTAGGGGCCAGCTGGAGAGCACTGCCGGAGACTCCATCCTCAGGCTTAGGACTGGGAAATCTGCCTGCTGCCCAGACAGCCTAGGGGTTCATCCCAACCCACACAGCAAGCTCCAAAAATAAGCCAACTCTAATAACGCTCTTAACACCTAAAGATTCAAAGCAATTCTAAAGAACAAGAAACCAAAAAAAACCTCAACATGTCATTTATGTTCAAAAACCAACCAAAAACACTTTCATCTTAAAAAACAAACAGGCTCTAGTTTTCAACACAGACATGGTGCTTATTACGTGACAGACACTGCTCTAAGTCCTTTTCATCTACTAGCTCATTCATGCTCACAGCATCCTCTGAGGTAGGAACCATTACCTCCATCTTGTTGTGAGGAAGGAGCAGAGCTGGGACCCTGGCCCTTCCAGGCTGGCTCTGGAGTTGGGACTGGCAGCCTCGCTGCTGTTTTACAGGAGTCTGGGTGGACTTCTGAGGGCTGCCTGGCTCTGGGGCGGGTGGAGATGGTGCTGGAATCCAGGCATGCAGGTAGGGTGGAATGCAGCATGCCTAGAAGGTGATTCCTGCTCCCACCAGGTACAGGAGTGTACCCTATGCCATGACGAGCAGCCCTGTCATCTGGGCACCCCCACATCACCAGATTACCCGGGTGGTCAGACCTACCCACCTGGAACCCAGCAAACCCTCAAGAGCAAGGGGCACCACAGAATGCCAAGGAAATCTTGGTACAGCCTAAACTGGGGCAGCGACTGGAGGTGTCTTAGAAGAACTTCTATCTAGTTTCTAACAGCCAAGAGAATTAAAAACTACAACAGATACTGAGAATGTTTCCTTTGGAAAGTGCTCCAGACTGTTAGGAACCTGGGCCAGAGTATCTGGCCTTTCCGGCACCTAAAATCTTGCTGAAGGGACAGTGAGAAAAGACCCATTGCTCTTTGGAGGTCTACCAGCTGCAGACATGAGTGACCGGGGCAGCTGACACAGCTGCCTCCTACGGAAACCTCCGGGTTGGCAGTAAAGTGGGGCAGTAATGCTCTGACAAGGCAGATCCCAATAGCGACTGTTGGCGGAAATGGAGATAAAAGCCTTCGTAAAACCCCAAGCCCTTTCATGTGTGTGTACGCGTACCCCTGGCTTCCCCTGTCCCACTTCCCTAAGCACCAGCCTCAGGTGCCCTCCTCCCACCCCCGGGGTGCTGCCCGGTCTAAGTAGAAAATCAAAACAATCTCTGGGCCTTTGCCTCTCCCCCAAAGTTCAGCTAGGGCAGGAGGGGGCAAGGCCTGGCCCAGGCACCGGTTGTGGAGGGGCAGTTTGACGCAGGGCCACCTCCCGGAGTTGGGGCGCAAGAGGCCTCCGCTGAAACCCAATGCGGAAACTGAGGTTGGGAGCGGGTGGCTTCAGCAGGGTCAAGGCAGGTGTTGATTCCCCGCGGGGTCCGCGCTCCATCCCGAGGAGCTTCTCCACAGCCCCTCGCGCCGGGGTCCCATTGGCCGCTCCTCCGACCCGGGACCCTGCTGCCCCTCCCCGTCCCCAGCACCCGGTGGCCGCCCCTCTGACCTGCGCCCCCACCGCCCCTCGGACCCCGGACACCGCGGCCGCCCCTTGTACTGTGGTCCCCGGTGGCCACCCCAGGCCACCTGCCAGTGGACCCAGGCCCCTGCCGCCCCTAAGACCCCGGACACCGCGCCGCCCCTCTCGGACCCTGAACCCCTGTGGTCGCCCCTGGGACCCCAGACCCCGGCAGCCGCCCTTCGGAACCGGGTCCCCGCCGCCCCTCGGACCTCAGACCCCGGTGGCCGCCTCCCGGACCCCGCCGCCCCGGCTCCCTGTCAGGCCCCGGTCCGGCTGCGCCTCTCACCCTGCTCCGCAGAGGAATCTGCCATTCCTGGGAATCCGGGACCCGAGTCTGCGGCGACAGACATTTACCAGAATCTGATGCAACCACCGCCCCGGAAGTCCCGCCCCGCGCGGGACCCGCCTTCCGGGACACGCCCGGTCGCTAGGCAACCGCCGCACGCTCCTGGCGCGGCCGTCCCGGGGCATGCTGGGAGTTGCGGTCTGCCTCCTTAGTGACCCGCGCCGCGGAGCATCCCCGGCCGCGCGTTCCGTGTCGGCTCTCGGAGATTTCCGTCCGACGGCGCGGAGACAGTGTCCCAGGCGCAAGTGTTTGGGTTACGATGGCAGCAAGCGCCGTGGGGCCCAGACCCAGCCTTGCGGTCAGAGCCGGCCTCGGGCCGGAACGGGCGGGGCCTAGAGCAAGGGCTGGGGATGGGTGGGACGGGGAGATGGTCGTGCAGACGACCCCAGCAGAAGGCAAGCCACCGGGGACAACGCGGTGCGGCCGCAGGACACGGCGGAGCGGCCCGTGGCAAGGCTGGGTCTTCTGGAAGGCCCTTGTAAGCAAAGGCAAGGATGACAGAGACATCCCGAAGGGTTTAGACAGGAGCAGCCAGGAGCAGATGTGTGTTTCGGAGCCGTCGTTCTGACAGTGCTGAGTCGAGGGGCATGGGTTCAGGAAACCTGAACGAAGGCAAAAGGGCTCTTTGGTAGGAAGCGGTTTTCATCGTCTACAGGCGAGGAAAGGGTGGCCTGGACTCGTGAGGCGGGCAGACAGATCGGAGAGATGCGTGGGAGGCTGGGGGGATAAGGGAGATGGTGGAGTCCGGAATGACACCCAAATTTCCGGACTCAGAGACTAACTGGTTGGGTGGCTGTGGCATTTGCTTTAATGATGAACCCAGAAGTTGAAGATACTTGGTGCTGGGTGGAAACAAGCAGGCCGATTTTTGAGTATTTCCAGGGACTGGTGCTAGATTTGATGTTTGGGGTGAGGGAGAGGGAGGGGCAGAGCGGGGCTCACATTCTCAGCCGAACAGGTGGGCCATGCTGTCATTCCCTGGGGGCAGAAATCCCCGGAAGACCTACAAGCCAGAACAGGTGCTCCATCTCCTTCTCAGAACCCCATTCCAGAGTCCTCCCCCACCCCCCATCCCATCAGGCTGCTTGGGGCTCCTGCCTTCTCTGTGCATGTCACCTTCCCAGATATCCCACCCAAGGTTTGTGCACCCACCCAAATGAGAGGAAACACTGTTTCAGAAACAATTTTATTACATAAAGAACAACTATTGGCCAGGCAGAGTGGTTCATGCCTGTAATCCTAGCATTTTAGGATGCCAGCCTGAGCAAGAGTGAGACCCCATTTCTACAAAAAATACAAAAGTTAACTGGGCATGGTGGTGCACACCTGTAGTCCCAGCTACTGGGAGACTGAGGCAGGAGGATCACTTGAGCCTAGAAGTTGGAGGCTGCAGTGAGCTGTGATGATGCCACTGCACTCTAGCCAGGGTGACAGAGATTCTGTCTCCAAGAAAAATTAAGGCACATATTGCTAAAGTGTACAATATTTGGTGAAAGAGCATCTTTGGCATCAATACTTAAAAAGTGGCCGGGCGCGGTGGCTCACGTCTGTAATCCTAGCACTCTGGGAGGCCAAGGCGGGTCGATCGCTCAAGGTCAGGAGTTCGAGACCAGCCTGAGCAAGAGCTAGACCCCATCTCTACTAAAAATAGAAATAAATTAGCTAGACAACTAAAAATATATATAGAGAGAAAAAATTAGCCGGGCATAGTGGCACATGCCTGTAGTCCCAGCTACTTGGGAGGCTGAGGCAGGAGGATCGCTTGAGCCCAGGAGTTTGAGGTTGCTATGAGCTAGGCTGACGCCACAGCACTCTAGCCAGGGCAACAGAGCCAGACTCTGTCTCAAAAAAAAAAAAAAAAATACTTAAAAAGTTTAAGGCACTTAAAGAGGTCTCTGTGATTAGCACCATGCCCCACCCCTGCTAATCTTGGTTTAGAAGGTGGGGTCTAGTCTAAATTCAATCTTCTCCTCAGGCAGAAGACCCCAGGGGCAGCCTAAAAGCGCTGATTCTGATCCCAGTGCCTGATGCAGCCAATCATCCACAACTGCCCAGAGTGGCCAGCAAGTTGTCTTTGTGGTTGGCTTACTCATACATATTTAGGCAACAACTAGTCTGGACCACACCCTGTTCTAGGCATAGGAGCATCACAGTGAATATGAGAACCAATGGTCAAGGCAGAAAGACAGCAACCAAATCCTCCTAGCCTCAGCTCCTGGGGAACAGGCTTCCAGGACCGTGAACAGGCAAAGGCAGCCGGTTCCTCTGGAACCTCCATAATGCATCTCAGCCACAGAGGCCAAGGATAGCTCTCTGGCAGAGAAGCACCCTTGCCTGGACACAGAACTGACTTCGCCATCGAAAGCTTCATATAGAAAGTATAGCCGTATCTGGGATTCATGAAGCTTCCCACAAGATCAGAGCTTGTAGAAGCAGCTTGTATCTGATTCATCCAGGCCACTGCTTAACATCAAATGTGCCAAAAAACACTCTAACTTGGGGTCCCAGGATGCCTACCTAAGATATTTTCAGCAAGTAATTTATTTATAATATTTTGCAAAGGCACGTGTAACTCCATTTTATGGAGGGCAGCCATGAGTTTAAAAACAGAACTGTCCTTTCCAAGGTTATTTCTCCAGCGCAGGAGCATCTTATGATGCTGTTCCATCACATTTCCTTGATTTTCATGTTCACAGATCTCAATTTCATTTTCTTCCAGTTGGATAAATCTCATAAACATCTTCCAGTTACTTTTTGGAACCTCACGTCCAATTTCATAATAAATTCTATTGGTGGCTAAAAAAACAAAAACGAGAAGGAAGAGTTTGTTTACGTTTCTGGAAAGACCATGTAGCATCTGCTGTGACTCTGCTGCCCAGGACGGGGGAGGCTCTGTGCGGCCCCAGCTGATCCCAAAGAAGGGACCAGGCCCCGGGATTTGGAGACCACCCTGCCGGCTGCCCATCCATCACTCTGGGACCACGGTCACCCAAGCCCCACATGGCCACCGGCCTTCCTGGGAGAAGGAACCAGAGGCTCCCGGGAAAGTCTGAAGCCTCGTGGGGACAGTCTGTTGCGGTCCGCTCCACCCTTCCTTCCTCCCACTGGGAAGCCCCCCAGCTGCTAGCAGGTCAGGCGAGTCAGCACTAGGATCTGAGACCTGGGGCGAGTTTAACCTCCCGGAACTTCGGTCGTCTTATTTTTAAATGTGCAAAATGGGGGTGGTCTTGCAGAGTTGTTAGTGAGGATGAGCTAAAGAAAGCACCTGGCCTGTAGCACATGCTCAATAAATCCTTACTTTTCTGCCAGGAAAATGTAGCATCATAGCCAGCAGGGACCTGCTCATCTAGGGTTATACAAGTATTTCTACCACCCACTCACATCCTTTCATAAAAACATGGAAATATGGGCCGGGCGCGGTGGCTCACGCCTGTAATCCTAGCACTCTGGGAGGCCGAGGCGGGCGGATTATTTGAGCTCAGGAGTTCGAAACTAGCCTGAGCAAGAGCCAGACCCCGTCTCTACTAAAAATAGAAAGAAATTAATTGGACAACTAAAAATATATAGAAAAAATTAGCCGGGCATGGTGGCGCATGCCTGTAGTCCCAGCTACTCGGAAGGTTGAGGCAGGAGGATCGCTTGAGCCTAGGAGTCTGAGGTTGCTGTGAGCTAGGATGACGCCACGGCACTCTAGCCCAGGTAACACAGTGAGACTCTGTCTCAAAAAAAAAAAACACATGGAAATATTACAAAACAAAAGCAACACCCAATGTTTCTTGATTAAGCCCACAAAACTTGTATTTGACACCAGACTGTTTTCTCTGATGTGAGCAGTGAATGTGGAAAAGTGAATCTCAAGTCCGTAGGAAAACTCCTCATAGCTGCATGGAGGTAGATGTTCCTTCTCAGAAATAAAGACATTCACACCAAAGATTTAACTCCAAACCATTGCTAAAATGAAGAATTCAAGTTACTTACCGTCATAGGAAGTATCCTTCAAAAAATACTTTTGTGCATATTCCTGTGGAGGGAAGAGAATTAAATTATTCCTGGAGAAGAAATCTGCCCAGCCCTTTGGAGGGCTTCTGACAGAACCAGTCAGTTTTCTCGTGGCGGCAGGTGGGCCTCAGAAGAGTCGCCTACCGGGAAGGGCCCGCTGTGCCCCACTATGGAAGCAGAGAGCTCACAGCCCACCCGCGTCCTGCAGGTCACGTTCCCCCGGGACACTGCTGGGGCCCGGCTGGACACCCATGTTGGACACCTGTGCTGTCAGGGCCTCTCTGCTCGGTGGACGGGCAGGGGTCCTGGGCAGAGCTGCTCTGAGTGTGCACCTCTGCCCTTTCCCCGAGCCAGGACGGGGGCCTGCTGTTAACAGCTGAACGACGTTACCTAGGGGTGATTTGTTCTACTCTGGACTTCGACAGTGCCCATGGAGGACACTTGTCCAGAGAGATGCATCATGAAAAACATCACTGACTTAAATGTGGGTTTCTAGTTCAGGGACATCTGAGCGTGTCCCAGACGAGAAGAGCCTGGATTTGACTGTCCACTTACATGGGCTGCTCCAGGCTCCCAAGGCCTGGGGATAAGGTTAGGGGTTCCCTCTGGAGCACTAAGGGCCTGGAGTCAGACCTCGTGAGTTCAAATCCCAGCTCTGCCTCTGGGCAGCTGCGGGCCCTGCTCGACGCTGCCCTCTCCCTGCCTCTGCTGCCTCACCCGTAAACCAGGGGCAATAATGGTTCCACCCTCAGCACGGCCCAACAGGGACACCCAACACACTGCCCTGCCCCTTTCGGTGCCTCTTGATGACATGGGCTGGGGGTCCTAACCTCTCTTTCTTAAATAAGACCCTTTGGAGAATCTGAGGAAAGTCGCGGCAATGCCACACAAGGGCATGGGACCCACGGTGCCCAATTCCCAGAGTTCTCAACCTCAGTGCCTGTGCGGCGGTGTCCCAAGGGTCCATGACCTTCAGCTTAGCGCCCATGACCTCCTCCCTGGCCCCATTCCCTCCACACCTGACCTCCTGTGCCTTTAGGACCCAGAGACAGGAGTTCCTGATCATTCTCCAGCGCTTCTGAGCGCTGCACACACTGTCTCCTCTGCCAAAGGACCCCTCTCCCCAGGGCTACTTAGCAGATGTCTCCTCACCTTGCCCAACCCCACTCAGGAGTCACAGGCTGGGGACGGCTCCTTGCAGCCCCATGACAGAGGACGGAGATGGTTGCTCTCCACGCAAGGCTGGACTTGCCTCCCCACTGCCCGGCCCTCCCACGGACGGACGAGCGCGCTCCCCACTCCCTCCCGCCAGCCTGCCCCCTGCCTGCCTTCTCTAGATGCTATACCTGGTATATACTAGGTGCTTAACCCAGGTCTGCCAAGCTCGACTTGGAGAAAATCATGTGCTCGGCTGGCTGAGTCACATCTAAGCGAGAGTGCTGCACCCCAGGGCCCCACCACCTCCTCGGTCCTGCTGCAGCCCAGCCACAGGACCTGGGTGAGGACACCCTGAGCCCCTGTGTGCCCCTGGGTGTCATGGTCCTCTGGGACAGCACATTGAGGGTGGCTGTGGGTTGAATCACTCCCAAAAGATGTGGAGTCCTGACCACCAGCACCTGTGTGGGGGCCTGATTTGGAAACAGGATCTTTGCAGAGGGTAAAGTTGTAAGACGAGGTCACTGGGCTGAGCCTTCATCCAGTGCCACTGGTGTCCTTATAAAAAGGGGAAATCTGGACAGATCCAGGCACACACGGGGAGAATATCCCGTGAAGATAAAGGCAGAAGTTGGAGCGATGCTTCTACAAGCGAGGACAGCAAGGATGATAGGAAATCACCGGAAGTTAGAGAAGGGGCCTGGAACAGACTCTCCCTCACAGCCTCGGAAGGAGCCAACTCTGCCGACACCCTGGCCGCAGACTTCTGGCCTCCAGAGCTGGGAGAAGACAAATTCCCGTTTAGGCCATCACGTGTGTGAGCCGTGCTGTGGCGGCCCCAGCAAACTCACCCAGGATCCCACAGGAGCACGCGTGTTAGCACCTGGCACGGAAGCCTGCACACAGCATGCGTCCGATAAGCATAGATGTTGTCATTCAGACCCACCCGCGAGTTTCGTTTACCTGCTCCAGGTCCCCTAGGGAGGCTGTGGCCTTGGTCCAGCGCTGGGGCCTGCGGGCAGCAGGAGCACGAGTGTGCGGCGCCTGCTCTGGGGCAGCTGCGCTTCCTTCAGCCGCCAGCACCTGCCCCACGGGGCTCTCCCCTGGGTCCTCTGAGGGCCCAGGGCTGGTCCGGGTCTCGGCCTCGGGAGGCAAGGCCGAGTTCTCCTCCTCCAACAGCACTGTCGTTTCCACGTCAGGGGCTGGACGGTCCCTGTCAGCATCCGCGGGCTGCAGGGTCTCCGTGGGCCTGCTGCTTAGAGCAAACTGAAGCACAGAGTTCTTTCTTTTGGTGAAAGGGGATGGCAGCACAGGCCCTACCCAAGTCACTTTTGGAGAAGGAAATGCCACGCGGCCCGCAAGCCAGGGCTGCGCAGGTTTAGAGATGGACACCACACACGGTGAGGGCCCAGCTCTGATGCCAACGCCCTGGGGGGGGCCCAAGACCAGCTGTTGTGGGCTGAGCTGTGGCCCCTAAAAAGATATGTCCACGTCCTAACCCCTGGCACCTATGACTGCGACTTTATTTGGAAATCCCCTCGCATGCCTCGGTTTCCACCCGGTGGTCTGAACGACCAGACTTTCAGTGTGCTTCTGGCGCAGGCAGCCAGGGCTCGGACGCGGTGGATGCGACGCCCCTGCACAAGCCGAAACTGAGGGCGCAGGCAGGAGGGCCTACAGCTGCCCACACCCACTCCTGGAAGTTCTGGGGACCTTACTGCCACCAAGGCCTCAACACCCAGCACGGACTGGGAGCCTAAGCCACCATGAGGCACGTGCAGGAAGGGTGAGCCCAAACCCCGGTGTGATACTCACAGAGCTGCCTGGCTCGTTCGACTCTCCTGACGATGAAAAACAAGACACATGAAATCAGTTCATATTAACCAGGACAAGGATTTTTGAACTCACAACAAAGAAAGTGCACTTACCTTTGAAGAACTTGGCCATCCACTGCTGGACACTGTGTCCCCCTGGGAGGGCAGAGGAGGTGCGCTCAGCCCGTGGCCCGCCCAGCGCCCCCAGCTACAGCAGCGCCCAGACGGCCCATCTCCAGCCCTGCTGCCACCACAGCCGGCTGACCCAAGACCCTGTGACCTCCCAGGGGATGGCCGCCTGCCCCCCGCTGGGCTCCAGGCTGCCCCGAGTTAGAAAGCGAGGACCTCACAAAACTGCCCCGATTCTGAGCTGCTGACGAGGCTGCTGGTCTGTTTTTCTCGCCCGTCAATCTAGCCCTAATTTACCTTTTCTTCCACAGTAGATGACCAGGATGATGATGATGATGATGATGATGATGCCAACCGGAACCGAGAATAACCAATACAAGTTTACATTTCCTAGAAGGAGGCAAAACAGAGAAGGCCGTGGCAGAGCTAAGCACAGCTCTCTTTATCACAGTAACATGCTGCCGAGGGTCCCCATTCCCCGTCACGGTCTGTCCAGGTCCCAAAGCTCAGAGCATGTGGGGTGCTCAGGTCCTGGGAAGGGGTAGGAGGTCTGTCCCACCAGAATGGCAGCAAGAGGCTCTGCCAGCCCGCGGGTGGTCCTGTATGGGTGGTCCCGGCTGCAGGATCTGCTCCTGTGCGGCAGGAGGTGAAGCCTGGGAGCCTGGAGGTGGCAAAGGACAGCCTGTCCTGGTCAAAGCAGAGCCCAGCCACCGTGGCCCAAGGGACAGGGCAGGCCCACCCTGGGGAGACATCTGGTGAGACCACTTGGGTGTCCTGGTTTCACCCCTGGAATCACAGCACAGCCAGGGCCAGGACGCACAGACACACGGCAGGGTGGGGACAGGCCATCTAGAGACGGGGACACTCGGCCACCTCCAAGTGACCCCCATGAGCAACAAAAGCCAGTGGAGCCAGGTTCACACGGCACCGTCACCACTTTAAAGGCTTTTCTTTCTTCTCAGACCCCTCGCCCTCTTTTTGGTATTAATATGTCCTCTAGAAGTGTTTACGTGTTACCGTCATCAAAGTGTTTTCGTGGAAATGGACAAGCTGATTCTGAAACGTAAACTGACACGCCGAAGTCCCAGAGCGGCCAGACCACACCGTGGAGGGCGGACGAGGGGCTCCAGCCCTCGGACGCAGAGACAGTCCCAGGCTCACAGAGACACTCGGTTTGTGACGGCGGTGACGCAGAGAGCAGGGAGGGGACCGTCTTCTCACCCCTGCCACGTGGGGCGGGGCCATTCGCACAGCACAGAAAAACCACAACGGACCTGGGCCCCGCCTCACACTACGCAAAACCCACGTCCAGGTCCAGGCTCACCGTGGAGCGAGACGAGAAGAGCAACACGACAAGAGCAGGTCACTGAGGGAACATCTTCTCGGGGCGAGCAAAGGTTTCTCACAGGGACACAAAGGGCGGCAACCGCACAGGGCAATGGTGACAAACCGAACCACCTTAGAACTGAGACACCCCAGCGTGGGTAAAAGGCACCCAGAGGAGGTACCTGCAACACGCGGGCTCGTGTCCCAAGTTCATAAATCACGACCAACGTTTATAAATCATTATCAAAAATAAGGAAGGAAGGAAACCCAGACAACCCGACATAAACACGGGCAAGAGGCTCACACAGGCGCGGAACACGGGGACCAAGGCTGCTGGCATGGCTTCCTGCCTGAGCACGTGCCCCCGAGTCCTCCTGTCACACCTGAGAGCCCCGCGGGGGCAGGGACCAGAGACAGCCCCGGGGCTTACATGGCAGGACAGAAGGAAACGGGACGAGCAGCTGGAGGACACTGCAGGCCGCAGGCAGCTGCCCTCCGCGCCCTCTCGCCAAGGGGTAATGACGCTGCATCCTGGAGCGGACGGCCGGGAACGCACGGCCGGAAAGCCGCAGCGCGTCTGCAAAGATTCCGTTTGTTTACTTAAGACGGGTCTATGAAGTAGGGCCCATGGGCCAAGTCCAGCCGACTGCCTGTTTTTGTAAATAAAGTTTTATTGCCACATAGCCAAGCACATTCATTCACTTATTGTCTCCGGTTGTTTTTACTACCATGGCAAAGATGACAAGGGATAACCATGTGGCCTGTAAAGCCACATATGTACTTTTCCAGAAAAGGTTTGCTCACCTGGATTTAACAGATGGAAGCAGCCCCTTACCTGGCTCAGGACATACTGTGTTCGCCGTGGCATTACATGGCCGAAGGGGTTTTCTGTCTCCAGAACACCTGAAGGGAAACCCTGAGAGTTACCTCTCCCCACCCAGGCTCAGCCCAGAGTAGCCTCATCACCACTCACTCATTAATTTTGTATATAGTCACTTTGCTAAACGGGCAGGGTGAGGAGGGACCAGCCTTGCTCCTGGGATGGCCCTGCCATATTTCGGGCAATCGGTGCCTGGCATTTCCCAGGCTATGTGGCCCAAATTAGTCTAATGAGAGTGAAGCTTGGGAGTCTGCTGTGATATCTGGGGGAAGAACCTCTATCTTCCCCCTTTTCCTGGATAGAGTATTTGGCTATGAGTACTGGGCCTGCTGAAGCCACGCCTCTACCAAGAGGGAAGCCAGCTCAGAGACAAAGCCAGCCATGGAGAAGGGGAAAGGCAAGCGAGTCCAGAGACACCAGAGCCTTGATCAAACCAGACCTGAATGTAGTCCTTACTTCAGATTTGTCAGGCATATGAGCCAACAGTTCAACACAGTCTGAGTTGTGTTTAATGAGAGCTATTTGCAAGTGGCTTTATCATTGTAAATATCTCCCCAGAACGTTCTCCCAAAATTCACGCCCGCCTGGGACCTCAGAATGTCACCTTATTTGGAAATACGGTCTTTGTAGACATAATTAAGGTCACATTATAGTAGGGTGGGCCCTGATCCAATGACTAGTGTCCTTACAAGAGGGAAATTTGGACACAGAGGCCCAGAAACGCAGAGAAGGCCCTGCCGATGGAGGCAGAGACTGGAGTGATGTGTCCACAAGCCAGAGGCTGCCAGCCACCACCAGAAGCTGGGAGAGGCGAGGGAAGACCCTCCCCTCGTGCCCTTGGAGGGAGTGAGGCCTTGCTGATCCTTTTGATTTCGGACTTCTGGTCTCCAGAAATATGAAAGAATAAATTTCTGTTGTTTTAAGTCACCTGGTTTATGGTCAAGTGTTACGATAGCCACAGGATACACAGTGACAGTGGTCAGTCATGCTGCTCTGGCCACAGGGCACAGTCCTGCCATTCTCTCTACCTAGAGCTCTCTTCCCCAGAACTTTCTACGGCTCCCAATCCCTCAGGCCTCTCCTTGAGGGCCGCCTCCGCAGAGACTGTCCCCGACTGCTGAGTCTACACCGGCCCCACAGCCCTCTTGCTTCAGGGACCCGCCACTAGCTAGTCTTACACTGTATGTGCATTTTCATCGTCCGTGTCCCCCACTGCTGGGGGCCCAAGGCCTGCAATACCACCCGCAGGCCACAGCGGGGTGCAGCATCATTCATTCAATGAATGAATGAATGAGCACTGACACCAGGCAGAAACATCCGGGCGATCTGTTTGATTTAATCTTCAGGGCACCTCTATGGGGCAGGGGGCAGGGCTACCCCATTAGCCCCATGTTACAGATGGGGAGGTTGAGGCTGGGGGTGCTATATAAGCGACCCAAAGCCAAACAAGCAATGAGTCAAGGAGCGGGGCCCCATGCCCGCGCCCCGGTCGCACCACCCCCACCCCCTTTGCCCCCCACCTGCTACACCGGAAGCAGCTCTCCGTGCAGTCTGCAGAGTCGCAGTAGAACTGGCCCGACTTGCACTGGCATTGCCGGTCACTGGTCCGGGAGCAGTTGGCCACCAGCTCCTGGTCTGTCAAAGAGGGAAGGCTAAGGTCAGTCCCCAGGGGCATGCCCCTGTCGGGCGTGCACCATGCCACCATATGGCAAAGTCACCGTCACCTGCTCTTAGTCCTGGGTGCAGAGTCTGCCCTTGCCTGATCTTTTAGCACAGGGACCATGAAAAGGTACCGACCGGACCTGCTTCCCTGCGATCTGGGGTGTCCGTGGAGAGGCCGGTGGGAGCCCCCACAAGCTGGGCAGGGGGAGGAACAGAGCCAGCCTCTCAGAAATAGCCCCAAATCATTCCTTCCATCGTTTGCCCCCCAAAGAAAAAAACGCCACTACTGTGTGTTCTGTACGAACAAAACGTCAGATAAAGACAGACGTGGCGTCTGACAGCAGACACCTTGTGATCCTGCCTGCTGCCAACAGCCCTGCAGTCACCACGATACCCACCCTCCCAGACGCCCGCCCTGCGCTCCCGCCGCGGGAAACACGGAGCCATGGCGCCACCCCTGCCCGCGTCTCAGGCGGCAGTGTTTAAACACGGGGTGAAGAGCTTCACAAAGCAGACACCTTTGCCGTGTGCCACATTTTCTCTTTGAACAAATTTAAAGAACTATATGTGAGAGATAATAAAAATGAAATGGGACCCTCAGACCTGCACCCTAGCTTGATACCAAGAATACGTCTTGCCAGCCCCGAGTCCAGCCTTCGTCTTCTGTCTAGAACTGCACCACCCTCCTGAACGTCCTTGAACAGGTGTGTCCAGCGGGATGTGCCCGCAAGCAGACGTAGAGGCCGCTGGGCACGGCTTTCTGCAGCGCACCGTCATCTCACGCTGTCGCAGGGGCCCCGTTCGTTCACGACACCCACTGCCGTGCAGGGGGTGGGCATTGGGAAGCTTCTGGTCCTATGGTAGGACGCAGCCTTCCCCACCTCGCACCACACGTGGCCAAGAGCGGTTCCAATCTAGACGGAGATGCGGAAAGGGCGGGTGGTGGCTTAGGAACATTCTCAGGTTCACTGATTATGCCAAAAGGTTTCCCAAAGCGGCTGTTTCGATTCCCACTTTTCCTGTTAGTTTGAGTCTCCACTGCTGCCTGTCTCCACGAACGCTTGGTAAATTCCTCACCCTGGTGGGTACAAAACAGTGTATCTATTCATCTACCTCAATGTTTTTATATGTTTGTTACCATTTATGTTCCATCTTTGGAATGTCTATGTCTCTCTCCATTAAAAATGTCTTGTTATTGATGAGTTGGCATCCTTTATATCTTCTGGATACTGATTTTGTGTAAGTTATAAGTATCAGAAATCAATTATCCCGGCCTGGCGCGGTGGCTCACGCCTGTAATCCTAGCTCTCTGGGAGGCCGAGGCGGGCGGATTGTTTGAGCTCAGGAGTTCGA